GGTGCCGTACAGTATGAAGTAAACAACAACAAAAATGAGTGAGAACAGTACAGAAATACGTACTAAAAATACTCGTTCGCTCAATACGATAAACTAGTGATGCCAAAAAAATTCGTTGCACACCCCTCTAAATTTTATGAATCCTGCAACGAACTACGTACGTACCGTTACGAGCTCGTACGGTACTGTAATTGGTAATTGAGCTAAATCACGAGTCAGTTTTCACGATAGTACGAAGTCAATCCAAACGTGTTTAAAAATTAGAAACGTGCATCATTCGTTATGGGAGGGGGGCTTCGGGGATCGATTGAATTGGAAATTCTCGAGATATTTCAAAACTTTGTCAGAACTTCTGCCAGCCAGAGAACATACGTACGGGTTTTGTGATGTGAACAGACGGCCATTGCAAAAGATCCGATTTGATGAAAACACATCAATCCTCTGTCGTCATTCGTCACCCAATTATATCAAAAGACCCCCCATCAACTCCCATCTACACTTTCATTTATGATTCTATTACCGACATCAATAAAAGAGGCTGCATTGAAAGTAGCAAAAAGAAAAACAATGAGATTCTACGCATCATCACGAGGAGGTAGCARGTCATTGGCGACAATGGCCTTGGCAACGACCCAATTGATTCCATCCCAGAGTTACCTGTCGTCCCGCGTCATGGTGACAGCGTTTTCGTCATCCTTGGCCGTAAAGCAAGTCAATTCGCTGAAAGAAGCAAGAGGATATAGTTCGTCATCTACCGATCTGAATATGAGTAGCAAGATGAATCAATCGTTTGAAACTTGGTCCTTTGACGAGCCTTGCAAAACTATGGCATGGAGTCCATTGTCTGCTGTGGAGTTGACCGCTTCCGGATCCGGATTAGACAACTGGACGGACGACGCAGACTTGGTCTTCGTGGGGATTTTTGCGCCTTCAAAGGAGGATTCTGAAGAGGAAGAGGACGACGACAAAGAAGAGGAAGTCGTTGAGCCAACCTTGTCAGGATCTGCCGGAGACCTTGACGCGTCGCTCGGTGGAGCCATCTCAAACCTAATGATTGAAAATTTTAAGGATTTCAAGAATGGTGCCGAAGCTGGTTCGACTTTACCAACCATGAGGTTTTACGAGGATGGTAAGACAAAGAGATACATTGTCGTTGGCCTCGGTAGTGAGCCAAAGGATTCCGACTCGTCGGAGTCTATCGGAAGTGCTATTGGCAAGGCACTCGCTACAAAATGCGACTCGGAAAAGAAGGCTGTTTCAGCCAAATTCCTTCTACCAGAATCCATCGCGTCAGATTCCAAAAATTTGAAGGACTTGTCATCTGCCTTCTATTCTACGTTGTACGCAGACAACAGACATCGTACTGGCAAGAAGGTTGTGACCCCAGCCGAAGATTTGAAATCTCTGACTTTGCTTTCAGACGGTGGAAGCGATTCCGACACCATGCAGGACTCACTTGATATAGGAAAGAAACTAGCTACTGGTGTTTACATGACGAAAGACATCGTCAATGCGCCGCACAATGTGTTAAATTCTGAATCTCTTGCTGATACAGCACGAAGACTTGCAGAGGAGAGTGGCGGAAGCTTAACATGCAAGGTTCTTGGAAAAAAAGAATGCGAAGAGAGGGGAATGGGTGCGTATTTGGGAGTTGCCAGAGGCAGTGAAACAGAACCGCAATTTATTCACATTACATACACGCCATCTGAGGGAGACATCAAGAAGAGAGTTGGAGTTATCGGCAAGGGACTACTCTTCGATACCGGAGGTTACAATATCAAGACCCAGATGATGGAACTCATGAAATTTGATTGCGGTGGCGCCGCAGCAGTTTTCGGTGCAGCTCGTTCCATTGGAGCCTTGAAACCACCTGGAGTAGAATGTCATTTTGTTGTCGCAGCTTGTGAGAACATGATCAACGACAAGGCAATCGTACCAAGTGATATTCTCACCGCATCTAACGGAAARACCATCGAGGTCCTCAACACCGACGCAGAGGGGCGACTGACTCTTGCAGACGCCTTGGTTTATTGTGATAAGGAACTGGACTGCGAATCTATCATTGAATTGTCAACATTGACTGGTGCATGTATGGTTGCTCTTGGTCAGGTAAGGAAAAAACATCTTCAGCATGGGCTGGTTTCCATGGGGCGATTTCTCTTCTCTAGAAAAGTGTAGCTRAACGTTTTGTTTTTCTCGTCTCGTTGCGATTATTCCTTGCTTTACAGAGTGTTTGCGGAGTATTTACCGATAACGACGATTTGGCTGAGGAGCTCAAGGACGTTTCCAAAGTAACCGAAGATAAGGCATGGGTAAGTTTTAAATCTTGATAAGATTGCGTCCATAATGTGACTAAGTTGCAAAGCTCCTTGCGATTCATTTTTAACGCAASTCATTCCTCGTTTCTAATCAAAACTCTGTCCTTCGTGATTGTCTCGTGACCAGAGGATGCCGATGGAAAAATCCTACAACAAGCAATTGAAATCAAAGGTTGCTGATATGACAAACTTGGGTGGACGTTACGGTGGGTCGATCACGGCCGCCCTGTTCTTGCAAAACTTCGTGAACAAGAAGAAACCATTTGCTCACATCGATATAGCTGGACCAGTTTGGGATGACCAAATTGGCGCCACTGGTTTCGGAGCAAAGCTTGCAACTGAGTGGATCCGTCGCCAAGGTGAATCCGATGAATAAWGCTTCAAAAGGCGTAATAGAAAGCTGAAAATTCATGAACACCTGCTGCCTTCTAAGTTTTGGGTACGTATGGAGCATCATGATGTGAGTAATTAATCATATTGATAGTAGAGAAATTAGCTAATGCGTCATCAATAAGTGAAAGAATGTTGTTGTTACACCATTAAATTGGCAATCCAAACATATTTTGAAATTAACGGCTATCTTCGTATTCCACGAGTCGTTTAGTGAGTTCGTTTTTGTTGCCTTGAATCGCGAGACCTCTTTCTTTCAAAGCTATAGGACCGTGTATTTTGAGAGCAATCGACGAGATGAGAAGTTGAAAAATACGTTTATGGGATGTTCGCGTTCGGTGCGCATATTCCGAATTCTAAATTTTTACTCACCTTCTTTCATTTGAGCTGGCTTCATTTTCTTGATTTCAATCTTTGATAGTTTGGGAATGTCCATCTCCTTTGACTTCTTCTTTTTCTTCTTTCCATCATCGCCGCCGGCTTCAGCTTCKTGTTCCTTGAATTTAGCCTTCCTTTCCATTTCTGCGGCAAGTTCAATTTCTTCTTGCGCTTTTCTTCTTTCCTCTGCCAGAGCACGTCGCTTCTTAACTTCTTCCAGTTTGGCAAGATTCTTATTGTGTTGCTCCTGAGAAGTCACGTGCACGGGTTCATTTGAATCCTTTCCGGCATCACCTTTTTGACCAGACTTCTTTTCTTCCTTTTCTTCACCAGCATCACCATCTTGAGCTTCCTCTTCTTCTGCCTCGGCACGACGCTTGGCGCGATTTTCTTCAAACTCCGCCAGACGTTGGTTTCGCTGTTCGATTTCAGCTGCCGATATCGCATCAACGCGTTTGCCGCCACCACGTTTGTTGAACTTGCCACGAGCCATCTTGATTTAGYTTCTGTAGCTACGAAATGTTGGTTCAAAAATGTTTGGCTTCTCGTGATTAATGAAGTTCATTACAGTGCGTACAGTATTGTAATATGCTTCCAGTAAGTTCGTACCGTACCGTATGTATGGTACTCGTTCTGGTTTCTTGATCGATAAGTAACAGGTGTGACGTTACSTGTACGAGATACGAATACAAGGTACGAGTATGGACGAACCCATAGTAGTGGCGTAGCAAGCGTACTCGTGAACAATGTTCTGTACTACGTACGGTACACTACAGTGCGAAGTAATACGGAGTAGCACAGTACTGTYAGTACATGGCACGTACGTACCGGTAATTGTTCGTATTGGACTCTCACCGTGGCGTGAAACCGCGCGTTCGGTTTCCGCGCGAGGTGGTACAAAAACTGGTCCGTTTGAAACATGTTTTTCGGAAAAAAAAGYACCTTCTTTTTGAGAGTTCATCGCCTACGACTCCATCCAAAAAATGCCTCCATGGTCACAAGTCGTATGAGTATTTCTTTCTGTCTTGCGAAAAAGATTGCTTTCCGACAACCCGTGATTCTTCACTCGTGAGGACCTTCTTCACACACAGTTGTTACGCACAAATACAACTTTTAAAGACCTAATAACCTTTAAACATGAGTCGAGCTACTGAAATCGGAGCCCACTTCCTCCTCTTTTTCCTGGTTTTCGGAATGTCCGCAACTGTGGACATCGGTCATATGCGGAAGCAGTTGCGGAATTGGAAAGCATTAATGATCGGATTGTGCCTTCAGTTTGYCATTCTGCCGTTCGTGGGATTTTGCATCGTGAAAATACTGAATATGGACCCAGCAATTGGAGTATCTTTGTTGGTTGTYACATCCTCTCCGGGAGGATCCTATTCGAATTGTGAGTGTGGCTTTTCGTGCCTTGTACTCTACGTTTGTTTCGTTGCCTGACATCACCATCCTCGGTGAAGATAATGGAGAAAAATCAGGAACAATTCTTTGAGCTTTGAAAGCATACTTTTGTTGCTTTTGCGTCTTCGATATTTTCGTCTCCATAATAATTGATTATTCAATCTGTTCCTCTCATTTCTATATTTTCTTTCCATTTTCACTCAATCGGTGCTAAACCTGGACTATGATCGATGMCATTGATTCTTTTAAAACTATGGCAATTCGATGTGAACTCAGGGTGGTGTTCTTTATTTAATGCCGAGTTGGCGCTGAGCGTGACGATGACCGGTATATCGACTTTGTTGTCTGTAGTCATGCTTCCATTGAATCTAGTGATTTACACAACCGGGAGCTATTCCGACGAGGTTGTCAAATCTTTGGACTGGTTCGCCTTATTTCTTTCACTTATCGTTGTCCTCGGAGGAATTACCTCCGGTGTTCTTATGTCGGCTTGGTATAATTCGACTCGTTTTAATTTGATGGCCAATAAACTTGGAAACCTGGCCGGGGTCTCGTTGGTCATCTTTTCGGCAATCGTCTCCTCGACAGGTCAAGACACGAGCATATGGAACCAGAGTGCCGTATTTTATATCGGATGTGCGATACCGGCCATAGTAGGTGTAATACTGGCTACTTATATGGCCAGCAAGCTCGGTTTGGAAAAACCAGAACGAGTTGCTGTGGCTGTTGAAGGATGTTATCAAAACACCGGGATTGCAACTTCTGTAGCTGCATCCATGTTCACCGGGACACAACTAGCGACAGCAATTGGAGTTCCTTTGTATTATGGACTTGTTGAAATGATTGTACTGGCAATTTTTTGCCTGGGATGCTGGAAATCTGGGTGGACTAAGGCGCCTCCTGATGAGAATTTTTTCACAATGATTGGAAAATCGTACGAAGTGGAACAGGCAAGATTAGAATCTCCTAACGCAATCGAGGTTGTGCACAACAATAATCCTAAAGATGATGGCGACATTGAAGATTTGGTTTTCAACCAAACGATCGAGGGTTATCAGGTAGATGAGAGGTCGCTACAAGAAAAGACCAATGCAGGTTTGATGGAGCAAAGACAAATGAATGGGTCTCCCCTAAGGGCTCGCTCGTCAGCCGAAAGTTCTCGAAGGATAGATGATGACACACTCAAAGCCGAACAAGGAGAATTCACTTAAAGGGAAAATTCAATGTTCCTTTCCATCACCAGCATTTGCGACGACTAGAAACTGTGGAAGTCCCACTGTTATTCAATCATCGATCCCCACACGATTTTTTGTTAGAACATGATTGACAAGCGCATCAAATTWATAACACTACGAWWAACCGATTTTTTTTYACAAGGTGTCGAAATCTAAAAAGTATGTGCACTAGATTTATGTTACTATCAAAATCCCCTAAAAGAAAAGGTTCGTGCCCGATTTTTCCCTTCCTCTCACAATGACTTACAGTAATAATTTCGAATTTTGGTCATTTTTCCCTGTAGTGAAGTCATGCTAGCGAAAAATTTCAATGCAAATAGTTTTCAGTAACCATCATGGTCTTTACAAATGCGGCATACACTATTTTAGTATTTTTTATGTCAACGTACCCTCACAAGTTTCAAATCTCGGTAGCTGTCTTCTCGATGGAACTTGACCACTAGGAGCCTTTGGCATCGAAGGAGATATTTCGTTCTTATCTATCATTTCGAAATAGGTCGTGAGAACGTTGCCTTCTGACTTCTCGAGTGGCTTTTGACTCCCGTCTGTACTCTCCGACATGGATACTTCAATTTCATCAATGTCTCTCATCTCAACCTCTAAAACTTCGTAGGAGACGTAAAGTATTTTCCAGATTGAGGCATCTGCGGGTGCTTTGCTCCAACCAGCCTTCCAACAACCGATACAATAAGACCCTACAAAAAGAGCTTCGACCATACCGTAAAAAAATGGAATACCCATGGCTTCGTTCAAATCGTTTCCCCTGAACATGGTGAGAGCCAAAGATGTGGCAATACCAACATTTTGATAGCAACATTCCACTGCGACAGTCCTGAAAAAAGAAAAATATGGCACAAAAGGTGTAGGTCAGAAATTTAGAGTCTCTGAGCTTGGTTATTTCTGGTTCAAGTTTGTAGTTTGAGTCTTACATTCGCTCTGGTTTTCGCAAATTTAACAGAGATGCCAATCCAGATGCAATGATCAATCCCAGTACACATGGAGCAATAGTTGCGACATAGAAAGTCCAATGTCGGGACCATATTCTAGATCCTGCGTCTCCACCATTTGTGACGGTTGCACTGAAGACAATAAGTAAGAAACCRGCAATGTTTCCCACTTTGTTRGCAAGCATATTGAACTTGAAAGAATGACATTGGTGCGACATGTAAAGTCCCATCGTAATAGCTGAAATGACAATAGCCAGTGCAACAAAGACTGATACCCAGTCTAGGTCACTTATCACATCAGCATTGTACGAAAAGTTTGCATATAGAAGAAGATTCACCGGCAGAGCAATACACGAAAGAATAGTCGATATTGCTGTCATTGTAACACTCAAGGCTAAATCAGCATTGAATAGGGAGCACCACCTATTTTCAATAGAAATATAGAAAGATCAGCAAATAATTATAGGACAAAGAAAAGACTCGATGAAACTCTACCCAAAGATCCGACCAACTTAATCACTCACCAGTTGGAATAGGACCCTCCAGGACTACTCGTTACCACGAGTAGAGTAATTCCGAGGTTCGCATTGAGTTGCATAATGTTTACAACTGCAAAACCAAGAAACGGCAGCAGAATAAACTGGCAGAAAATTCCGAGCATGATCGCCTTTCGATTCTTCACCTGTTGCTTCATACATTCTGTGTCGACTGTAGCGGACATTCCAAACACTAGTGCAAAGAGCAGAAAATTTCCCACAACTTCCAGAAGGGACATCATTGTGATATTATTTGAGCACTATGTAAAGGATGCGAAGCAATTTCTGATGCCCTCGACTTTGTTGCCGTATTTTTTGTTATCTCGAACGTAGAAGGAAGATCACTTGAAGGTTGATTGATTAATATGACCAATGCATCTGAGCACGTGCTCAGTACAGTTATTGAGGRTAGTTTCCGAGATGAAGTATGATCAAGCTCAACGGTGATCACTCTCCGACAAATGTGATATCTGTGGAGTACGAGTAATAATAGTTCATCAGAGGGCTCTTCGATCTCGTATGTTTCCAGTAGTTTTTTTACAATTACTTTCCTCATTCGTACCAGTACTAACATACGGTACAATTTTTTCTTGTTTTTTAATTTTATTTCTCGATAAAAGTAAATTCGGCTTACATTTTCGCCGTTTGACTCGAGCGTGCCAATGTTAAAAATCAATGAAAATTGGTACTACGAGTATTCTCTATTGACTAGGGAACCAACCACGCACATAGATCCCAACGGCTGCTTTCATGAGAAGTACAAATATTTTTTACGGATGTGCAGCGTCAGTCCTCCGCGTACAATAGTAGTAGCTCCCTGGAGATCACAGTAGAAAAAGTACAGTAATGAATTAGTGTAGCATTATTTCTGTGGTACTACTGTGTCAAAGGACGGACGTTGTGCATCGAAGTTTCAGTCAGTTCTTAGATGATAATCTATTTTTTAGATCAGTTGACTTCAATTGCCCCTTGCAGTTAGATCATMAAGCCATTTTGAGCTTTGATACTCACAAATTCCAGGGTTTGAGACCGAAAGAATTTTTGATCRGAGGAATTTTTGATCAGAGGAACCTCTGGAGTTTGACGATTTCTTTTGGTGGTTCAATGCTCCACTTAACAAACAATAACTTACAATATCGCTATTGTGGACTCGAAGGCTAGATWGATGATTTGTTGCGACCAATAAGGATGGGAGTCTCACTTTTGGATGATGAAACATCCAACGAGAACGATGCATCTGATGGAGAWACCCCWGGTTCGAACGATCCATTCTTTCTCCCTCGTGAAATAGATGGAGCAAGTAAGCTGGCAAAATCGCTAACCAACGATGGCAGACCATGACGTGAAAATAGTAGGCGGTCGTGATCAAGTGGAGGAAGTACATACGAAGGCACCCCGTTCATATCACTGATGAGAATGGATAAAGGAGGAGGAGTACAACATGCAGTTAATAAGACTAGCATGGATGGATCTTCGTATCTTGTGTTTCATCGATCACATTYACAGATACGCCTTCTTCCCCCGCTAAAAGAGGCTAAAACTGAGGAATATTTAAGGATCAAACGCTACAAGGAAGCTCCGGGAAAGATGGTTATGAGGGTAGAGAACGGATTAGAGACGAAATAAAGCATCCCAAAGAAGAAACCACACATCAAACACAAATTTTGTAAACTATATGAATTTGTTCCTTCGCGAAGGCAAGAAGCTTGACGGTGGAACAATTCTCGTTGCCGAGACACCATTTGGATTGTGCGATGATCAATCCAACTACGGTTTAGCGAGTGTAAAGAATGCCAACTAAAGCGAAAGACAAAATGAGAAAAGAAAGATCTTGAAAGAGGCTATGAACTTCTGAAGTAAGACGAGACTTGAAGCTAATCAAAATAAAGATGAAAGGTTCGAGTTCGGTACTGGAGGTTCAGTGAAGGCTCGAAGTTGGAGCAATAGAGAGTATCTCGCTCCGGAGAGTAGATTTGGTTGCTTGTAACTGCTTTACATTCAATGTGTGAGCACCATTGTTTTGATTTTTTAGATTTTTTATCATGAATCACCATGAATAGCAGGGTGTACACTTCTGTCTTGATATTCCTTCTTTTAAATGCATTACATCTAATGGTTGTATTTTTCTAATAATCTTTACACAAAGCAAATTGCAACTTCTACAACAATTCCTTGACATATACATAGTTYCTGGTGTCTTCCTGAATTCCCTTATTGATGAGTGTAGATTCTCTTCAACCCTTTGTAGTAGCTTCCAATCAATCATTCTGCATGTGGTTCCCCAGTTACTTTTTCATGAGCCATGGTGCCGGTCTTCTGTTCACAAAAAAAGCCAATCAAACTGTTAGTATAATGGCTATGTTTTTCACTCTTTGTGGTCTGCTACATCCACTTTGATGTAGAACCTTCCTAATATTGAGCTTCCCAATCATTTTTTTTGCTTGGGTCATTGGATCTGATTGACTTAGCTTCTACTACTGCCAAGACATTACCGCCAGTGAAGCAAGCTCTATTGATTTTTTACTAGCTCTAGCATTTACTTCCTTTGTTGGGATTGGTGGTATCATCAAACAGCTTAAGGATTATCTTATTTTTTAGCTGTCCATAAACTTCTTGTTTTWGCAACTCAACCTAGTACTAGTTGTAAGGATTACTACTAAGCTGATATGGTTATGCTTACTTAAGCACAGTTAGTTTGGATTTGTAAAAAAGGTTTTGAGACAGACTATGTTCCATATAGCAAAATTCAGGTCAAGATAAAGGGCTTCAGTAGACATTTTCATATTTTTTTCCTTGCATATGATGATAGCTAGAAGTAATTTTTTCAGACATAAACTACTCCCATGCAGGTCAGGATAAAATGTTTCTTGGCTTCTTGCAAATAGGCTAGCTACAACTAAGAATGTTTTTTGCAAAACTACTACAAGTAATTTGTGCTTCTTTACTGATTGTACGAATACATTACATTGTACATACTAGTAGGAGAATACAATAAATAGAAATGAAGAATGCAAATTCATWATCAGACAAATTGATTGGAAGAAGGAAGAAGGTTAATGTTGGGGTAAAACCTTGGTATTTTGGACTGGAGGTATTAGTACACCAACAATGATAATAAAATCACCATCCACTA